AACCAGAAGGGTGCAGTTCAAATCCACCAGCTGCTCTGTAGAGTTGGGCAATCTCCTCCCATGTGATTTATTGCTTCTGAAAACTAGCTGGAGGGTCAGCTATGGGTTGGTTCTAACTTGATAGTATTCAACAACTACTAACAACATCATCTTCTGACTAGAATCTAGATAGAGTACAGCTATGAAACTGGTTAGTGTGGAGTTACATACTTTCATTGTCAGGTAACGATGCCACTACCAAGTGTTGCTCAATCTAGGAAATAATGGAAAGAGGAACATCCTTGTAGGAGAGTTAGGGAATTGAATCAAAACACACATTTTGTTAGCACTCTCTTCTACTGCTACAGCAATACAGCAATAGGTCATGATTTGTTTGAAAGAGAGATTAGCGATAGAGATTAAGGTCTTGTTCTGGGCTATAGGCCATAGACATAAAACTCTCACATGATAACATATTTCTATTTAAAGATATATTCTTGTTATCATAGTAGTTATACTTGTCAGTAATAAAATTTCAAAAGTTTAGAATCAATAACATAAAATTTCCAACTGTTATTATCAAGCTTTGCAAATTATTTAAAAAATTCTGCGTAAATAAAGTTTAACATTTAAATAGTAGTTCTACAACAACAATAATAATGATACTACTCAAACAACACCTCAAGTCATTGCTGTGAGTCTGAATCAAAGCTGACCCTCTAGTAGATTTTCAGGAGTTGTAAGTCAAACAGGAAAAGACTGCCCATTACTAGAGGCAAAAATCTTGAATAGAGATTCTGCAAAAGCTCTGGAATACCAATGTTCAATGTTTCTTAGTTTTTATTCAAAACGAAAAATTGGGCTGATGTAGTCTTTAGAGGGCTGCACTTCTAACTAAAAAGGTGTGAATCTCTGGTGGTTTGAAACCACAGTAGGAGAAAGATGGGCAATTATCTATTATTAAGATTTACAACCTGGAAACCCAATGGAGATTCACTATGAGTTGGAAGTAACAGTAAGGAGTTTGGTTTTAGAAAGAATAATCATACTTTTCATACTTTTGTAATTTCTACACTGGTGGGCCTACATAGGAGTTAGCAGTTAAGTGAAAGATTGACAGTTTGAATCCACTGGTTGCTATGTAAGAAAAGCTGAGGTAGTTTATTTTTGTAAAGATTAAACCCCAAACTTACTGCTTTTAACTCACAGCAATATTATAGAACACTGTGGAGATGCAAACGTTTCAGTTAATAGCCATAACCTATTGCTTTAGCCACTGAACTACCAGTCTTGGAATCTCAGTAGGTCAATTTTACTCCTTCCCATATAAGGCCACTATGAGTTAGAATCGACATTCAAGGGCAGTACGTTTGGTTCTGGTTTACGTCTACAACTTTTTGATACATAAACAGCCGAGACAGAAAAGACTATGCGAGGCATTGTGCAAATACTGTGCTACATGTTTTATAAATATATCATTTGATTTTAAAAACAATTCTTCAATAGTGATAATTATTTCATACACGAGAAAACTAAAGCTTGGGAGAGATTAATATTAAGGCTGTGTAGTCAAGTGGCTATACTGAAAAAAGAGAATAAAAGAAACTAACTCAAGGTCACTGAAATGAAATGCACGGTCTACAAATAAAAAATACCTCATCCTCCTGAAAGTTAAGTAAAGTATTATGAGCAAGAAAGCTAAAGGCAGGGGAGCTCTGGTGGCCTAGTGGTAAGAAGCTGCACTGCAATCCCAGAGGAGCACGGTTCGAATCCACCAGATGCTCTGACGGGAAAGGAGGGACAATCTCCTCCTGTACCAGTTTTGACGGTACACACACACACACACACACACACACACAAATAATAATAATTTAAAAAAAAGCAAAAAAAGCTAAAGGCAAGACTTTGGAAAACAGTAATGTAAGACTACTGTTCAATTCTGTATTATTTTCTGCAAAGATTGTTGTTATTGTATACCATCTAGTAGGAACCAACCCATAGCTGACCCTCCAGTGGGTTTTCAAAGGCAGTTAATCACACAGGAGGAGACTGCCCATCCTTCTCCCACAATTCTGTATTATTTTAAGTAGTTTAAAATTGTTCCTCTTTGAGGCTAGGACAGTACATAGAGAACTGCTAGGAGTTCAAGCAAAGCTTAGAAGGGGCTGTGGTACCTGAGACATCACTGTTGATGTCAGATGGAGCTTGGCTGAAAGCAGAGAAAACCAGAAGAATACCGGTGTTTTCTTGATTATGCAAAGGCATTTGATACTGTGGATCATAACAAACTATGGCTAACACTGAGAAGGAAAGGAAATTCTAAAACATTAATTGTGCTTATGCACAATCTGTACCTAGACCAAAAAGATGCCCAAACAGACCAAGGGAACAATGTATGGTTTAATCTGTATGCTGAGTAAATCATTAGAGAAGCTAGACTTTATGAACAGAAATGTGGCATCAGGATTGGAAGAAAACTTATCAACAACCTGCATTATGCAGATGACACAACTGTGCTTGCTTAAAGTGAGAAACACTTGAGGTGCTTGCTGCAGAAGATCGAAGACTACAGCCTTTAATAGGGATTACATCTCAGCATCAAGAAACAAAAATCTTCACCACTGGGCCAATAGGCAACATCATGGTAGATGGAGATAAAACTGAAATTGTCAACGACTTCCTCTTGCTTGGTTCCACAGATGTGTTGCACTGGGAAGTGTGTAAGTTAGGGACCTCCCTAAAGTCCTGAGGAGCAAAGGTCAATTTAAAGACTTAGGTGTGAGTAATCCAAAGTAGGATTTTTCTAATCACCTGTTTTGCATATGAGAGCTGGACAATGAATGACAGAAGAATTGATGCCTTTGAGTTGTGTTGTTGGAGAAGAATGTTAATTATCTATTGGACTGCTAAAACGAACAAATAGGTAAGTCTCAGAAAAAGTGCAGCCACAGTGCTCCTTGGAGGCAAGGATGGTAAAGCTTTGTCTCACATACTTGGTGCATGTTGTCAGGGGAAGGACATCATGCTTGGAAAGCCTCAGTGCAAAAGAGGAAGAGCTTCGGGTGAGACAATGGGCTCAAGTGTATTGGATGATAAGGATGGTGCAGGACAGCACAGGGTTCAGATCTGCTGTTCCTAAGGGTCCCTATCCAAGAATCCTCTTTGACTCTACAACACCGACGACATCATCCACCACCCTTTTGCTATCCTGGATCCCAAACACAAAGCCTAAGATATTCAAAGTTAATTCCACAAAATATAGTAGACTCTTATGCCCAGATAATTATCAAACCATTGCCCAATTTTCCTTTCTGAAAATCTGCCACAAAACACAATTCCAAAACTTGAGTATTAAAGGGACTAAAAATAAGCCAAAAGAGATCACAAAAAAACAATTGCTCCTTAAAGCTCATCCATTCCTGATTACAAATAGATCAGCTCCTCTAATTTGTTGGTTAATGGAAGCAGGTATATATATATGATTCTTATTAAGCTTTATTTTAGTGCAAGAAAAGGCTTTAGACCTCTTCCATGATTTAAAAACGGTACATGGAGCAAGGCAAAGGTGAGGAACAATTTGTTGTTAGCAGGGGTTAGTTCAATTGTTTCAAAGTGAGGGTAGGTTTTATAGAACATTAACCGGCAAGAAAGAACTGTTCAAGTCTGCAGTTCATACCCTGGGAATTTATTATCAATAGTCTCTCACTAGAGAGCTTTCGTGTCTTAAAGAGGTGAGTTGTGCTGCTGCCAACCCAAAGGGCATTCTCCTCCCTTGTGACTTAATGCCTCTGAAAACTCACTAGAGGGTCAGCTATAAATTGGTCCCAACACAATGGTACATATACCAACAGTCTCACCTACTCTCATTGTTTTCAAATTGGAACCTAAATCCAAGGAACAGTTAATTTTATTATCACATTGGAAATTAGATTGGGTAACCAGTACAGGCACTAGAGAACTGCTTTAAAATTATTAGAACTGGGGGAGAAGGGAAGATGACTAACTACACAAGTTTTTGTTAACTCCAATTGCAAAACAGACATTTAAAAATCAAAAGACCACTTATTTAGTAGCACATTAATCCTCGACTATAATACATTTTCACATTTGATTACTCTTAGGCTTGAAAGAGATGCCAGGAGATATCTGATTTTATTTAGCTTCTAGGTAACAGAATTCAAGAGTAGTCAGCGTCTTCAATAATCAGAAAAATAGGATCTTTGAGAATAAGGTTTTTTTCCAACTACAAGGGCACTACTAAAAAGTAGGACGAGAAAGAGCTAATGTTTTCTGAGTGCTAACATTTGCTGAGCGGCTGTGAAGAACCAAGCAGCATGTTGTCTTTAATTCTCATATCGACTAATGAAACTAACTCCAAGATCTAGGAGTCGGCCCAAGGTCAGCACTATAGTAAGTGGCTGAGCCGAGTTAATATCTAGTTCTACACAATAAGGTCCAGGGATAGAGTGTTTAGTAACTTAACAAACAAGGTTATATTTGAAGAAACAAATGATCTGTGTTGTGGGCTGAGGAAGTAAGTGCTTTCACATCTGAAAGCCGGGTAACGAAGCAGTCTGGGGAAGGGCTCCATCTGCAGGCCTCTGCTGGCCAAGGCTGTAGGAAATATGACCTTTACTCGTAAACCCTCGGGTTCCTCTGGCCACTGTAGATTGCAGTGGTTCTGAAGGGGGAAAAGGGAGCCTCAGGTACTTTAGCGGGAGAAGAAACGGAGACGGATCGAATCCAAAAAGCCTGGCTGGGATTTGAACTGTGCCCCTAAGAGAAGGATGCAAAGGCCGAGAAGGACGCAGAATTCGCACCCTCGGGTTGGGAGAGGGGTGGGAGGAGGGAAGGTGAGGTAGAGTCTAAGACAGCCGACCGCTGTATTAGACCAGCTGAGGTGGGGCTTAGGTGGGGCTGAGGTTGACGCTTCCAAATCCAAAGTTGTCAGCGTGCAGCTAATGACAGTTTGGAGACAGCGGAAGGGAAGGCGCTGGTGGGAGCCATTCTGGCACCATTACCTGCCGGGTGGTTGTACAGCGGTCTCAATTTCTCTGGCAGCATCATCTCCACTTTATCTAGGACTCGGTGGTACGTAGCCCGCAGGCCTCGAGCGCCGGCGGCCGCCATCTCCGCCGCCGAGGACTTGTGGACAGCCGGGTGAAAAAGTCGCCGTGTCCTTTTCTCTGGCTGACAACGAAGGGCAGCTCGTCACTTTCCCTTGCCACTGCGTCCGGCGTTGTCCTCTCTCCTAGGACGCCTTTCCTGCAGCGCAACCTGCAACCCGCGCGCCACCCAGGGGCCCTGGCTCACCAGAGGCTAAGGGGGCGGGGACTCCGCCCAGGCCCGCCCAGGCTCCGCCCCTAGCCGCTGACGGTAGGCCGGGGGAGGAGTCAGGACAACAGGTGCCAAAAAGGATTGCCTCATCGAATTCATCTAGGGCTGTGCTGGCAGCGCGCTTGCGCAGACGGAGGTGCCACGATGATTGGGTTGATCCGCGGCGCCGGCAGGGTCAGGCGGGAACCTCCAACTTCTCCTTTTTGCCCTCGAAGCCATGTTGGAGAAGGGAAAGTGAAGCTGCAACTGGCTTCTAACCTCCCTTTTATTAAGGAGACCTGTAACTGAAAATGGGCTTTTCTGGCCTGGCGTGCCCTAACTAAAGATGACGCCGAGCAACTCTTTTCTTTCTTTTCACATGAGATGCATAAGCCAGAGACTTCAGATCTCAGCTTCTTCTGTCTCCATTTATCTTTTAGTCAAGAGGAATTACAAATTTGGCTAGCGCGGGCTGAAGCCACTAGTCTCAATGAGGGCAGCGGGAGTACACACCGGCCTCAGTCCCGGGGGTGGTCGTCTTCTCGCGAGAAAGGCTTGAAGGGGCGGGTGTCGAGGATGAGGGGGCGGAGTCCCGGCTGCCTCCGCCTCCTGACAGAGGGGGGCCGAGGGAGGGGACTGTTGCTGAGCTCTGGATGTTCTGGGTAGTCAGCTTAAGGAGAGTATGAGGCGAGCCCTGGCCCGGGTGCGGCCGGGCTTCGGAGGCGAAGGTGCCGCCACCGCCACGATCTAAGTCGCTGTGCCTGCGAGGCCCGGCGCGCGGATGGTGCGGGAGCGGCTTGGGTGTTGATCCGCGTGTCCCCTCCCTCACATCCCCTCCCCCATTCGGGGGGGTCTCCCCTCCTACCCCGGCTCCAGCCGAGCCATGTCTCGGGGTGGCTGCTGCCCACACCTGTTGTGGGACGTCAGGAAAAGGTCCCTCGGGCTGGAGGACCCGTCCCGGCTGCGGAGCCGCTACCTGGGTGAGCGGGGGCCCCAGGGGGGAGGCGCTGAGGTCGCCGCCCGAGGTTGGGGGAAGGGGCGGCACCGCGGGGGCTGTTGGAGATAGGACATCGCCTCTCACCAGGAGCGCCCCGCAATCTTTGGGGTGCTTAGGGAGGTACCTGCCTACGGATCTGGCGTCCGTGTCCACCTAAGCCCAGAGCTCTCGTTCGTGCTGTCAGCCTCCGCCCTTAGTGGGTTTTCCTCTGGGGGTCGGGCTGGGGCGGGCTGTACTGGCGTGGAAAGGTGTTGGGGTCTCTCTTGGGAATTGAGTCGTGAGAAGACTTGCTGAGTCTCACTGATCTCCTGTGTTTGGAACGAAAGTTGGCTCTTCTACTCTCTCTTCCCGGCTTAGCCGAAAGACCCAAGTTTTTGTTGATTTCCCTCTTCCCCTCGATCTCGGGAGGGTTTGTGCCGGCTGCGAAGCGTTCACACCACCCTCAGGGACTTCATGGTCCAAACAGACTTCGCAAAAACTGTTCTGTGGCTCGGAGCCAAAACTGAAAAGTGATAGCTGAGCAGTGTCTCCACCCCCGCGCTTTCCCGGTTTTCAGCGAGCACTTCAGTTCGTTTTGACCGCCCCAAGGTGGTGTAGGGTTTCACGTTCTTAGTCCCACTCGCGTAAAACACACTTGGCATTTACCGGTTTCTTAGTCAAGCTTTCTAAAAACAACCTTCAGTGCTGGAGGGAACAGCCTTGTACTTTCTTCCCCGTTTTGGAGAACGTGGTTTTGTGAAGATTCCGGGTCAACTCCAGGAAGCGAAGTTTTAAAAGGGGACATATTTAATAAGGATTTTTGTTTGTTTCTTTCTTCATATATTCTCTTTCTGTTGAACTTTCAGGCCTTTCAGTTGCACTGATTAGTTATCAACAAGAAAATGAATATTTCCCATTTCCAGTCTTGTAATTTTTTGCCATTTGTTGCTATCATTTGATTTTAACTTCAAATAAATAAAAAGAAATTTATTATCTTCAACAGTTATGGTTTGTATACTGAGAGAAGCTACCTGCATTTTTAACATTCTTGTCTTTTTTCCTTTTGTCATGACATGAATTCTCCTTGTAAAAACCCATGCAATAAAAATGAAGCAAATAAAAAGTTTTTTCTGGTTCTTTCTCGAGCAATAAAAATGAAGTAAAAATAACCCGCTACCAGTGTCATTTCGTCTATTTCGGTTCTAATAACATGTAGCAGACAAGGGTATGAGCTTCCCAAACTCTGTCTCTTGTCTTAAAGATTTCAGGGATTTACCTGAAGTTGGGAGGCAGGATGGTGGAGTGTCTTGGATCTCCAGCCGTTTGGAAGTGTTAACCAGTTGTCTGAGTATTCATTTAGCTCCTGCACTCTTACAAGCACACACGGTGTGTATACATGCAGAAATGTTATCGTGTGTGCCCTGCGTGCATAGAAGGATATGTTATTATGTACCCAAAGGTCAAAACTGAATTATTATAGCTGACCCTACAGTGGATTTTCAGAGGCTGTATGTACATCATGTGGAAGGAGATTGCCCATCCTTTCTCCCTTAGCGGTATATAGTGTAAGCCTTTATTTTTAATTTTATTTTCTTCTTCATCTGGCAGATTAAAAAGAAATCCCTTTGTCTTTGAAACTTTGGCGCGGTATGTAAGAGTTTGAGGGTACCATAGTCAACGCGTTCTTCCTCTTTTATATAGACATTTGCTAATACTAACTATTGCACTGAGTGTACATGTCTTCGGTGAATTTATTCTAGAATAAGTACCTAAAGTGGTGATCGATTGTTTTTATATTAAAACAGAAATGATAGAGTTTTAAAACCATTAACTTAAAAAGGTGTGCATTATTTATTTTAGAATATATTTTCTGAGAACTTAATTTTAACTTAATAAATCAAACTTTAACACTATTTTCCATGAATGATTTAGCAGTTGGCTTTTTTTCTCAGTCTGAGAGTTTAAATAAGTATTTCTATTTAAGTTTATACACTTTCTTCTGTTTTAGTTAGTTTAACACTATCTGTGATCTAGTTTGTTAAAATAGAACAAAGTCTTGTGGGTTTTTTTTCCCCAGATTCTCTTTCATCCAAAATGTTCCCTGGTGGTACAGTGGTAAAATGTTCAGCTGCTAACAAGAATTGGATAGTTGGGAGCCACTCTCCACTTTATGGGACAATGATGAAGCAATCAGTTTCAACAAAGATGTACACTTAGGTTACTCTATGGGACACTTCTGCTCTATAATATAGGGTTGCTATGAATTGGAATTGGCCGAACAGCAGTGGGTTTGGGTTTTTTGTTCTACCACCCATTATTTAGGTGTAGTTTATGTGTTAGGTGGAGAAAAATTGAAGGGTGAGATTGGACTGCCTTTTATGTAAAGTGTGAATTATAGAATTCATGTGTATGTGCGTTTATACAAGGACTTGCTTAGCTTAAATAATATATCAAGTATGCTAATAACCCCTGCTCTGGTGGTTTAGTCTGTAGGAAATTGCCTTGCTAACTCAAAGATGGCACCTCCCTGTCAGTTTGTATCCACCATGGTTCTCCCATGGCAGTCTCCTCATGAGTGCAATTTATAGTCTCAGAAAAACTCCTGGAGGTTCAGCTATGAGTTGGTTCCTACTCTATGGAAATGAATCTGGGGTTTGTTTTTTAATAATACATACTTTATGGTTAGCAGAGTCTTTAAATGCTTTCTTTTTTAAAAAAAGGGCTTTTTTGGGGGTTTCTTTTGTTCTTTTTTTTTAAATAGTAATTGAAAATAGCTTGTAAGACTAGCTGATATGATAACTGAGTCCTTAAGTATGGAAACACATAGGAGGAGGAACAGCAGTAAGCAGACACTAGTAATTGGAACATGGAATGTGAGAACCAAGAATGGATATTGTTAAGAAAGAATTGAAACGTATGAATATTGACATACCTGGGTTTTGGCAAAATGAGACGGACTTGCATGGGACATTTTGAGTGGGCTCTGTGAGGAGAAATGTGGCATCAGGATGGAGGTAGACTCATCAGCAGTCTGTGTTATGACACAGATGACACAACCCTGCTTGCTGAAACTGAGGAGGACCTGAAGCACTTGCTGCAGAGGGTGAAGGACTGCAACCTTCATATAGATTGAAGCTCAACATCAAGAAAACAAAGATTCTCACTGCTGGGTCGATTGGCAACATCATGATGGATGGTGAAGAGATTAAGATTTTTAACAGCTTTAGTTTGCTTGGCTCTACAGTCAACATTCTAGGTACCAGCAGCCAGGAAATTAAAAGATGAATTGCACTGGGAAAGTCTGCTGTCAGAGACCTCTCGGAGTACTGAAGTGCAATGATGTCATTCTGGAGACTAAGGTGCACCTGATAGAGGCCATGGTCTTGGCAATTACTTGCTGTGAATCGGAAAGCTGGAAATTACTAGGGATGATAAAAGAATTGATACCTTTGAGCTGTGGTGCTGGAGAAGAGTATTGAATATACCATGGACTGCTAGGAGAACAAACAGGTTTGTCCTGGAGAGGGTGAAGCCAGGTTGCTGCTTGGAGGTAAGGATTCTGAAGCTTCATCTGACATACTCTGGACATACTTGTGAGACGGGAAGAGTCCTTGGAAAGGGATGTCATGCTTGGGAGAGTGGAAGCTCAAGAGAGGAAAACCCTCGATGAGATGGATTGATTTAGTGACTGGGGTAGTGGGTGTAAGTGTATCAGAGACAATAAGATCGGCACAGGATAGAGCAGGGGTTAGGGCTGTTGTACATAAAGTCACTATGAAACTCAGGCAACTCAACGGCACATAACAACAACGGGTCTCATTACACCAATTTTCTATTTTGACACATAAAACTATTGAAATTATTTTTCTCTCGCCTTGCCATCTAGTTAGTTTGAACTCACAGCAGAATACATGTTAGTGATGCTTTTTTGAGGTGCTTGGGAAGTTCTGGTGGCCTAGTAGGTGAAGAATTGTACTGCAAACCCAAAACATGTTGTTTGGATCCACTAGCTGTCTCTTGTGTGATATTTTGTTGTTGTTAGGTGCCATCGAGTTGTAGACGACTCATAGTTACTCTATGAATGAAAGGCCTGAGCACTGTTCATAGAGTTTCCAGAGGCAAGCCTTTTCGGAAGTGGATGCCAGGGTTTCTGTAACTTCTTGCTGCCTGAGTATGGAGGTCCTTGTATGCAAGTAATTACAAGTTTTTGGGATCATGTGCTTTTTTGGCCTTGTGTTTGACGTGCAGGACTGCTCTTTCCCCCAGGAGCGGGGCCCTTGAGGCTTGGCCTAGGGTTTAAGGCAGGCGGTGGCTTAAAGCTTGTATGATATGATATACAGCCTCCAAAAACCCAGGTAGAGAGTCAGCTATGAGTCACTTTCAACCCAAAGGCAGTAAAGAAGTTATTATCATGTTCCTTCAAGTTAGAACTGACCCATAGCTCACTGTCCAAGAGATTTTTAGAGGTAATAAATCATATGGGAAGCGATTGCCAATCTTTCTCCCATGGGGCAGCTGGTGGATTCGAAGTGTGTGCCTTTGGGTTGGTTGTGCCACTCCCTTTACCTCTAAGCTTCCAGAGTGAGTGAATGAGGTATTTCAAATGACTTTTTGAAGTATTTCTTAAGTCTTTAAAAAGACTAAGGACTGTATTTTAGAAAATAAGCAAATTCAATGTTTGTAAACATTTTTCTAATTATATTTCTAATAATTACTGTTTAGAAACGTAAAATTGGTATAGCACTAATTAACAATGTCTCTTATAACATTCAGAATTATTTTACCCATAGTGTGTCTTTTCTCTAGTTGTGTGTGTGTGTGTGTGTGTGTGTGTGTATATATATATATATATATAAAATCACCTTTCTTTTTTTCCTTTTTATTTTAGTGTGTGTGTGTGTGTGTGTGTGTGTGTGTGTGTGTGTGTGTGTGTACTGTCAAATTGGATCTGACTGGTACAGGAGGAGATTGCTTCTCCTTCTCCCGCAGAGCATCCAGTGGATTCGAACCGCACATCTCTGGGATTGCAG